ATCTCGCTCTGTCGCCCGGCTAGAGTACAATGGCCTCATTATAGCTCACTGCATCCTCAAACTCCTGGGCTCAAGCCATCCTCCTGCCTCAGCCTCTGGAGTAGCTGGGACTACAGGTGTCCTACCATGCCTGGCTAATTTTTTGTGTTTTTAGCAGAGACAGGGTCTTGCTCTTGCGAAGGCTGATCTCGAACTCCTGAGCTCAAGTGATGCTCCCTCCTTGGCCTCCCACAATGCTAGGATTATAGGCATGAGCCACTGTGCCCGGCCCACATGGGATTTTTTAAAGTTTCTTCAGCAAAGGCCGACGTGGAAACTTATTCCTTTAGTTGCTTCAGTCCAAGCTTAACTTCCTAAGGAACTCCTCTGTAGGAAAATACTTATTTATGACAAGGTTTAAGTCTTCTAGTACTAAATAGAAATTACTAGAATGCATTTTCTTAGACTTGCCTGGTGCGTTGTCACATGCTACGTATAACATGGATAGTCTCTGAATTTGAAAAATTATTTTAATCTGTCTTACAGTATTTTTAGCTAATTGTTGCTACTCTTTTCTTGAGTATCTTTCTCACTTATCAGCACATTTGATTTGTTTTAGTCAAGTAGTATTATGATTGGAACAGAAGTCTTAAATGGTGGTTGTAGATTGTGACTTCTCTTTTCATCTCTTTAAGCAGTTCTAAAACATTTTAAAAAATGAGAGAGAAATAGGAATTTTGTGGCATGACTATCTAGAGAATTGAGCAGTATAATATTTGGCTGATTTATTTTAAAGTTAAGTAACTTTTTTTTTCTTAATTTCTCCTGTTTGTATTCCTAGGTAGTAGGCAAATGATAATAAGAGTTCTGGAATTGCTTGCAGAAGATATGATACTTATTGGTGAAGCACTTTCAGCAGATATCTGGGATGACAGCAGCCTTTTTGCTATAGATATGGTGAGAATCAATGTTTTCTTTGGGATATGGGTAATGGTATTAGTTTTTTATTTTATTTTGGTTCTTTTAAGCTGGTTTCATTGTCTTATTAGTCTTTGAAAGCTTTTTTACTTTCTGACACAATATGTCCCAGGCTAATTTTGTACATAGTCTGGAACAGAACCAGAAGAGGTTCTGGTTCTGGTTAATGGGGGAAGGTATATCAAGACCAAGAAGAGGCCATTAGGGGTGCTTATAGCTACTGTGATATCATTCTTTCCTTTCAGTAACAGAACTAGGAAATAATATTTTAAACAATCATGAGTTGATATTGTTAGTTCTCTCCTTTTAAACTTATATTTCTTATCATTGTACTTTTGCTTGTACAAAGTCTTAGTTCCTCACAATATCAATATAATTGCTTATTATCTTTTAACTTAAGCATACATAGAATAGTTTCAGAATAACAATATAAATATCACTATGAACAGCTCTAATGAAGTTCAAGATTTCCTTGCAGTTCTTTTTGACCTAATTTCACTAAGGATATACAGTCAAAATATCGTACCTTAAAGCTATTTGGAAGAATTCTTTTCTTTATTACCAAGTCAATTAGATTTGTTTCAATTTGTCTCCACTTTTGCGAATTGTTTTTTTCCTCATAAAAATGTAGTGCAGAGATGTCTCTCTGCCATCCTGTTCTCTTTAAGGTATTTTCCTTATTGGTAGCCATTTTTATTTTCTGGCTTATTTTGTCTATTTTTATCTTACCTTACATAAAAGGTAGTATATTATATACACTGTTTTACAACTTCCTTTTAAAACTTAAAAATGTGTAGCACCTCCCCATGCCACTACCGCCAGCCCTCCAACCCTTTTTTTAAACATGTAGATGTATAATAGTGTCTTACTGGGTTTTAATTTGCGTTTCTCTAGTAACTAATGATATTGAGCATCTTCTGTAATTTCCAGTGAACAAATCTAGGACTTTTTTTTTTTTTTTTTTTGAGACAGAGTCTCACTCTTTGCCCGGACTAGAGTTCCGTAGCGTCATCCTAGCTCGCAGCAACCTCAAACTCCTGGGCTCAAGCGATCCT